AGAGTGTGCATTTATGCTTCTGTCCTTAAAAATTAAATGCACAGTCACAGCTGACAATAGAATGACCTTTTGCAATTTCCATGTATGCCCTAATATTGCATCTGTCTTTCAGCAGATGTTTTTGAAAGAGTTTAATTTGCATGACCTCCTGAGCATGTCTAAAATTAAAACCGTGATTTTTTAGGGTTTCCTTACAAGATCAGAGGAGGCAAGTTTCATTTCTGTGCAAAATGCATTCTCAGTATTGGACATGTGGAAATTATTAGTAATTAAGCTCGAGTGAGCCTTGGTGACAGCTGAATCACACTTCCTGATTATTCATGCTGCCGCCATGGTACCTTTTGCCCTGCTTTGTATCTGAAGTGAAGCAATTGGTTTGGTASTTGAAGGGCATAGACTGGCTCAGAGCACAAGTTCCCCTCTATAGACAGTGTATCAGTTTTATCTGTATTGAGCCAAATGGTGTGATGCATTTAACTTATCCTTGGCAACTGTCAGGAAAGATTTAGCTTAAAAGTGTAAAAAGGTACCTTATGTACAGGAGGGAGAAAGAAAGGTGCCTCTACATGTGATGTATTCTTAGGGAAAATACATAGCTGGTAGTTCTAATAATGTTTAGCTTCCCCTTTTTGCTAACTTGATATGCTTGCTTATGTAAAAATTGCAAATGATCTTGTTAAGGTTTTGCGTGGAATTTGTAGCACATAAAGAGCACATACTTTTTCAGTGACTACAAAGCCACTGAGTTTCATCATGAGGTGAAATTAAGAGCAGCAGTAGGACTTGTTCTTTCCATTGGTCGTGTATTATCTAGATATTAGGAAAAATCTTTGTTTTATCTGGTGATGGACCAGCACAGGAAATTGCTTTATAAGCATCTATCTCCTACACATAAAACAGGTGCTGTGGACATATTGTGTTCCCACAGGCTCATTTCAGTTCTTCCATTTGAGAATTTTATAGAGTGTGACACTTTAGGCAGTATATCAGACTGAAAATTAGAAGGTYAGTCTGAATTTCTAGTTTAGTCTACAATAAATAATGTTATTTGCTGAATGACATGATTTTTTAAAAAATATTTTTGTAAAATAACATGGAGAATAATGAGTACAGCGGAGCTGAAAATCTGAAGTGTATTATATGAAGAGAGGAAAATTCTTCAAGTGCCTGCCAAGAGTACTCTTAATAGTTAAGTGAACTGCATGTTTAGTACCCACTTCATTCTGTAGAGAAATTCCTCTGAAAGAGTGGAAGGAAAAAATAGAAGCCACTGGCCTCAATTCAAAAGGTTTTAATGTTAAAATGTTTTAAATGTATCAAGTATCATTTAAGTATGTTGGCTCATTTTCTATGTAAGCTGTGATAGAGCTTCATGGCTTCTGATGCTAAGTTCATGACTAGAAAACTTGCACAATTTCAGACATCATTGTATTTAATCTGATGTTGTTTTCAACCTACTGTAATAATATAAATCTCAGGCAGCTAGAGTTAATAGGGAGTAGCATTAATACAATGAATATTTCTTTTTCAATAGATGACTGATTTACAGTTTTAGCAGTTAGAATTTCAATGATATGCAAAACCAGCTCTCTGTACAGATGGCTTTCTTGCTATCATTCTTAAAATACATAACCTCATTTTAAAAAAATGTTAAGAATTAAAAATGCAGAAATGAGTCAGGTGGGAGGAATGATCATCCTGGGCAAATACATGGACCTCTTATTTATCAAGTTTTAAATTACCATTTTCTTGGAATTTCCTGAGAGAAATAGATATGTTTAGCATACTTTCTTCTTTGTTGAATTTAGGAATAATAATGGTTGGAGTTATTGTTGGATCAAAGAAGACTGGTATTAATCCTGACAATGTTGCCACTCCTATAGCAGCAAGTTTTGGAGATCTTATCACTCTTGCTATACTAGCATGGATAAGTCAGGGTCTTTACACTTGCCTTGGTAAGTATGTTTCTGGATATTTATTTTCCTAGGAAGCTCTTTCCAGAGGGATGTGGGAGGTCTGAAAAACCTTYCAGTGTAACTGACTTTGTTAAAAACACTTGTGCTTTATTTTGGGTTGAAACATTATAGGGTGCCTGCTCTTTCTCTTCTTCCCCTCCCTGCYTTCTCCTCCCATGGCAAAAATCACTAACTATGATCTTGGCACCATCTCCTAACATCCTGAGTAGTCTCAGAGCACCATGGCAGATCTCCATGTGAATTTGAATCTGCAGTGTCCAAGTTGCTCAATTTTCTCTGYTTTCTTCAGGGGGAGGGGACTTGTCTTCTTCCTAGTTTCTTGAGTGTCCACCCCTAAATCAAATATTTGCTTCCCAGAGGCCTATTGAATTACTTTTCTTTTGCACGAAGGGAAAGCTGTTGAATTGGCTGTTTTGATCAGCTCTTTCGTAGGGAGTTCTTTCTATCTCCTACTGCAATACCTCCTGGTCCCTTATTTCTCAAAATCCTGCTTGCAATACTGATTCCTCCGGCCCTTCCATGTCTCCTGCTTCTCTTGCATCAGGACACTTTTCACATCTCCTTCCTATTGCCCATACCCATGCATTCATTTTAACATCTTTACCTTTTACCAGCTTTTCCTTAACTACTCTGCTTAACAGTAAATGAAATAACCCTTTCTACCTTCCAAATAATGGCTCTACCTGTTTTTGTTTACTTTGTTTTGTCTTATATATTTGGAGAAYGTATTTCAAATAAGTCTGCTGACTTAGTTGTAGTTTCCTTCAGTTCTGCCCTGAAAGCTGAAAAAGCAAGCAGCTCTTCTTAATAGYCTGGCAGCAGATGAGGGCTTGGGATTGACTGTTGACTTCAGACAACAATGATCTGATCATACCTAATGCATCATTTTGTCTGGCTTCTTGATCACAGTTTTTTCATTTGTTTGTTTGTCTGTTTATTTTCCATATGATAGCTGAGGGCCTGTGAACAGTCAAATTACACATAAACAGCTCCAAACCAATTTTCTTGTGAATAACTCCTATATTAGTCTAACTTTCTTTTCTTGTATTAGTAATCTGCATGATTCTGTAATCCCTTGAAACTGTTTTTCTGATTTCCAAAACCTAGACTAAGTCCTATTCTCTTAAGGGACCAGATTCATTGTCACAATGCCTGCTGAAAATGAATATGCTGGTGATTAYTATTACTAAAAGAATGCTCAAGTGCAGCTAATGTAGAGAAAAGCTTGGGTGTCACYGGTATCCAGCCTGGGTTAAAGGGAGCAGAGATCTAGCTACGGTTATGAGGAGATGTGTTAGCTCTCTGGGTAGGTGTGGGTTGCCTCACATTGCCAGATTGCAGTTAGGAATGTGATGAGATTTATGGCTCTAGTTAAAATTTGTTCTAGCCAGGACTATGGTTAAAAAAATCATTACTACTGGACTTCAAGCTTGAAGTGTTAACTAATATTTCAAACRAAATGTCTTAGAGACTTATGTTCTATAACCTCACTGCGGTCTTGAAGATTTTGCTGTGCTATCTACACTGCAATGAGCAAAYGAGCATGCCAGGGGTGCTTCATCTGTTCCCTACGTCTTTTTCCTAGAAATGTTGCTTTCTTATGTATTTGAAATGTGATCCATATAACTGCACACATTAAATCCAAAGGGCTCAAAGACAGTAACTCACTGATACTGATGTTTTCTGGTTTTAAGTGCCTTCTCTACTCCCTTCCATGTTTTAAATTGTGGCTACAGGTAAAAATTAGTTACATATATTAGTGTGCCACACAAGTGAATTTTAGTAGTAGCTACATTTGTCTTCACAAGCTAACTATGTATATTTTTTTTATGACTAGAACTATCACTGCTACCTATACTTTGTAGGAATAATATGCAGTATTTTTTCTTAAAGGAGTAAAAATAACTGCTGCTATTTCCATTTCTCCTAAAACATACTTTTTTTTTTTGAGAAATGTGTTGAAGGGAATGGGGGAGTCAGTGGAAGAAACACAAAGGCTCAATGAAAACAAAAAACAAGATTGGGAAAGAAACTTGGGCTCTCTCGCTTTCACACCTTTCTAAAAATGTACATCTTTACTTGCACATGACCTAGCATATTRGGGAGGTATAAAAAAAGTGGGGCCAGTTTGAACTCTTCTGTTACTTTTACAGCTGTCATGAGCCACAGCTGCTGAAGAGTAAGTGTGAGTAGCGGAAAGGATTTTCTGGAACACTTCAGTTCACTTCTAAGAATAAATTGCAATTCAATTTCCAAATGATGTTTTGGAAATACCTCTCTTTTTTTGATATGCCTAATTATCTTACCACATCTAAAATGTTTTCTTCTGCTTTTCATATTTTTCGGTATCTTTCTATTACTCTCTCTTAGGAATTAGACTTTCTGAAGTAAGAACATACTACACAGATCTTGGGAATGTGTTTTTCAAGATGTAATTATTTGAACTACAAAATAGTTCAAATAGATGAATAGATGAATAAAAGCATGGTGTAGCTTCTGTACACAGAGAGATTAAGTACATTTGTAGTCCTTTAGCTCAGGAAAGATATATAAATTTTGAACAGAATGGAAAAGATTTTTAGAAAATGATCAGACACCAGGTTTAAATAAGTAAAATAATGTTTTTTTTTCAAATAGGATATAATTGAGATGTGGAACTTATTTACATAGCATATGAAGCTGGACAAAGGGATTTTAGAAGATATTTGGTTGATTTCTTTAGAAAGAAATCCACTGAAGAGTAGTGAACAGAGAGATGGAGATAGAAACTTGGGTGGTGAATCACGGTGGCACACAGTAGCAAAAGCTGGCAGCACACACTGAAAGCAAAGCAAGTCCAGAAACTTGCCGTTTTCTTATTTCCTTGAGTCTTAACTGTTGGTTATAGTCAGACACAAGATATTGGACTAGGTGAGACTTTGGAGCTCAGCTGCTAGCAGTTTATGCTCTTCTGTTCTTTTTGTCGTTTTCCTGCCTTTTTAATAACAGAGTAGCAACCAGAATGGGAATGTTCTAAAAAAAAAACCCAGCTTAAGAGGTAGTAGTAAAGCAGGGTGATTTCAACTCTGAATTTTGTTTTGAATGAGCTGTTTTTCAGCACAATTTCTTAGCATGACTACCTAAACAGGCAATCAGTTGCCTTCAGATAGTGGGTCTCGAATGAAGAAAATGTTTATGTTGCAAACTTTCCTCCTGTCTGTATTAGAGTGGTCTGTAATAGAATGCCTAGGCTCAGCTCTGGGTTAACAGTTAGATCTTACCAACCCCCCTGAAGTAATATGTCTATGCATCTAAATTATCCAGTGAGTTGTCTCCCTAAAGGGGATGGCTCATCATTTTCTTTACTGAGACAATTATCGTATAAAACTGGCCTTTTAAATACTTACGTCAATTGAACCCTCTAGCCATTTGGAGGGGAAACTTTGATATCCAATCCCTTAAATATGCAGGATGCTTAAGCTACTTTCAGGTTTTTTTCCACTTTAAAATTAGTGGTGCCTGTAATAATGTTCCTATATCTTCTAATGAAGTGTATTTGTTTTCTGGGGAGGAAAATGTTCATTTTCTTCACTTTTACAATTTAAATAACTAACTTGGTGTAACRTAATCCAGGATTAATGGTGGCCTTTCCTTGAGGAGCACTAGAGGGCTCCCTAGTACCATCAATGGTGCTGGAGCTTGTGTTCCTCGCTCTGAAATATGAAGACCTGATACATCAAATGCAGAGGGTCCGTGTCTCATGGCTTTCCAAAGCCTTTTGTAATGCCATCCAAAACTAAATGCTTTTCCTCACAGAACATGGTTTAAATATATGTGTCTATCTCTCAGGCATTCCTGCATCTTGGTTGAGAAGACAAATTGTGCGACTCCTCGTATTATTTCCAGGTTTTTAGCTGTTACTTTGAAGTTTTATACTTCTAATTTACATAGGATCCCTACCAGAGGTTGCAACATTTTTTGGATGGTGCTGTGCTGAACGTTCGGTCCCAGTAGATACCCTGCATGAAGATGCCCTGCAGGCATCTCTTTCTGAGCTGCAAGATAGGCTGGTATCACAGGTTGCTAAGGGAATGGGTGCTTAAAATTATGGAAGGTTGCTTGGAAGTCTCTTAAAAATCAGTGTAAATGTTTGCCTCTACCCTACTCCCCCCTTACTTTTGAATCTAAGGTCACAGTCAGAAGTTCCTTGAATAAGTAGCAGCACAGAGGAGGAGGGGGGTAATATATTTTACAAAAGTTAGAAAAAGAAGGGAAAATTACTTTGGGGCATCATCTCTTTCAAGTAGCTTTCTGATTTTGGCTTACAAAATGGAAGTAATCCTACCATCTTTTTTTGCTGGTGTTCTGCAGAGGTTGTGCCAACCAAAGCAGAAGGATAGTAACTTCCAAAAACTCTCTAGCAATTTTTCCAGGTGTAATTTCAGGTGTTCCCTGCCACCGTTCTCCACCAAGATAGCATCAAAGTAATAATAGTTTGAATTTGCAGCCTTTCTAACAAGTTATAACACTTGGACGAGATTACTGTTATATAAGCTCTATATTGTTCTTTGTTAGAGTGCTATATACTAAAGAACTGATAACATGAAGTATATTTTGCATTAAGTTTTGTGCAAATTGTGTGTGTTTAGACAAAAATTCAATCTTAAGTAGTATTGCTACATTTCTTATAAAAGTAAACATATGGACAAGTGAGGAATTTGTGTAGCTTCTACATATCTGCTCTTAAGATAGATTTTCCATTATTTACTTCACCGTTCAATTAGGAAGTCCTGAGTCAGTGGAGGAGCTTGGAAGTAAAACTTTTCTTTTGTTTACTACTACTTTAGAGACCTATTACTATGTATCTCCTTTGGTTGGTGCCTTTTTTCTGGCTCTGACTCCCATGGGGATTGTCATAGCTGCCAAACACCCAGCAACCAGAACTGTTCTCCATTCAGGATGGGAGCCTGTTATAACTGCTATGATTATAAGCAGGTGAGTCTATTTGTTTCACTTAGTCTTGATAGTTCCCTTGTCTCTGTATAGCATAACATGTGATTGTGTTAAAAAGAAGCATTTAACAACCCTCAGGATTGTGGACATAGTTAAGGTGCAGGTAGGACTGAGCTGGGTAGCTAACAGTGGCCTATGACAATGACTGAACAGAGCAGGACTGTTTCCAATGACAGAAATGTTGACTTGTTCTCCCTTGCAGTTTTAAGTCAAGACTGCATGCTGATCTAAGAGATTTGATTTAGTAAATTGAAAAGTCTAGTGAAGATTGTTTGAAATTCTATGGTCTTTGATACACAAGAAGTCAATTTTAATATATAAATAATTAGTAATTCCATCAAGAAAAAGAACAAAGACCATGTCATTGTTTGAGTTATATTCAACAGACTTGCAAAACAAATGGTTAACTTAACGAGTTCAGCCGTAGTCTTTGTGGGGAAAGTTAGCCTCCATAAGCTATAGAGCTCTATCTGTAGCATAAAACAAGATGCATACCTTGGTTCTGTGAGAGAGCATGCTTGGCTTATTTAACACTGAGTTTTGTAGGTCTGCTTGTAATCATTTTTCTGTCTGTTGTATTTTTGTCAAAGAAATTGGCAACGATTAACACATACTTAGCTTGACTAAAAATATTAATCTGCAGGTCAGATGAGAGTAGTCAGGGAAGAAAAAGATAAATTGAGAAGAAAATAGTGGCTTGAGGATGTTAAAAGCTTAAGAATACTAAATAAGACTTGAAACACTAATGTATCTTCTTGCCTTATTCTCTGTATTGCACTTTGCTTTTCAGTATTGGTGGCCTTATTCTGGACACAACTGTATCGGATCCTAATTTGGTTGGAATTGTTGTTTATACTCCAGTAATTAATGGTAAGACTATGATGGGATTTTTTATTACTGTACTGATATATCTTGGTTTGATAGAAATTTACTACAGTACAATTCTGTTATGCTAATTAGTGTCTGATGTAGTCTTTTCTCCAAGTTCTTACTTTGGTGGCAATGCTTGTGAACACCTACCAAGTTCTCCCAATCTTATTTATTATTAACATTAAACCATGATAGAGAATGTCAGAAACAGGAGCCTGAAGTATGCAGCGACAAACCAAATGGATAAAAATTGAAAAGAGGTATATTCAAATATTATATTCAGACTGTTATGGCTGAAGAAGACTAAGATAATTGTTCTTTCAAAAGATTGCCCTTTCAACATCCAAGGACAAGTTTTCATAATAATAATTTAAATTAGTTGTAGCATGTGTTGTTTTAAGCATTAACGGGGATGACAGAGACAAAGAAAAGTGTGTATTGGTTCCTGGCTTGCAATGTTTCCTGGCCTAGGGGAGTGTTTGTGAAAGTTTAGTCTACAAACTGTTACATGTTTGATTCTCTAAGGATATTAACAGGGAAAAATTTATAGGAATAATTAATAACTTATTACACCAATGCAGTTTGAAAATGCAAATTTTGGAGCTTTTTTGATCAGTATCACCTTTATAATTCTCATTTATGTTATTATAATTATAGTTGCCAGGCCTTTTCCTTCCGTTTTGCTATTTTCCTCCCACTTTTGTAGTTCTCCATATGATTTCTTACGTTCTTTTTTCATGGTATATATTGTTCTTTTCAAACCATTTCTTTATTATCAAGATGATTATATCTTCTTAGTTTGTCTTACAGATTGCTTTTGGTTCTCTTCACTTGATCTTTGCCAGTTCTATAGGACTGTGGCCTATTTTGACTTCCAAACTGTCAATTACATGATTTATGACCACTCATCATTCCTTTCACCTTTGATAAAAAATGGTTAATATTGACCCTGTGGTTTAATTTTGAAGCRCATGACCCCAGTTTGCTCTGTTTCCACACGTTGCTACAGAATACGTTGTATGAGACAGCATCAAAGAAGACTGCTAAGCTTTACTATGGTCAAGATTTAGCACATCCATTGCAGGGTCCATAGGCAAGCGGCCCTGTCAGAGACGGAAGTGTTATTGTTTTGAYACAAGCACGTTCTTGAAAAATTCCCATTAGCCCTTGTTTTATCACTTTTGTATTTTCTAGATCTTAGAAATTGTCTGTTTAGTAATTTATTCTAATGCTTATCTTGGAGTAGAAGTTGCACTGACATACAGATTCTATAGGTCATTTTTTTAAAGTTATAGTTTCTATTTTCCCTTTTACTGCCCTCTGGTATTCTCTAACCTCAAAGATAATCATTTTGCAAAGATAATCATTGGTATTTCAGGAAGTGTTCATCTATCTCTCTATGGAGGTTCTAAATTTATTTTACCCTCAGGTCCTACAGGCTTAATACATTAAGTTTGTGATCACAGATCTCCATTTTTACAAAGATAATAGCAAAAGGAATTGAGTGTTTCAGTCTTCCATGTATCATTTAACTTCTTTTTGCCTATTAAGGTCTTATTTTTCCTTTTTTTTTTATCTTTAACATGAAGCAGTGACAAGCTGTTGCTTATGCTCCTTGCTAACCATACATTCATTTTTGCAGTTCAGCCTTCATGCTGCTGTGCATTTTCCTTCTCCTTTGTATTAATTCCAACTTGCTACTCTTTTTCTACATTTTGATTTTGAGATACTTAAAGAGCAGTGTAGGCATGTTCATCTCCAGTGAAATTGGAGCCATGCTCATCTTCAGTGAAATTCTGCTTTACATCAGAAAGCTTTCTCTTAATAGTCCTTTTCAGTAGCACCCTTTCCACTGAGAAGAAACAAAAGTTTTGCTTCAGAATATGATGGACTGCTTCTCTCTCGCTGAGTTTCTTTCCTAGTAGATGTTCCTTTCCCACCTAGTTTAAAGCTTTMTTTAATGAGCTGCAAAATCAATAATGTTCTTAGGCAGGTGCACCAAAATTGCTTACCAGTAGTCCTGCTTTCTTAGATGTCATCTCTTGATTACAAAAGGAAACAACTGTCTGGCAATTCATTTTATTATTGTTTCTGAGTGGGYGTCTTTCTTTACTTCAATACACTATACCAAATTACTGGTAGGTTTTGTTCTATAGAAGACTCATTTATTCTGGACTTGCCACTTACTGTAGCACTTACAGCTTTATTTTCTCAAGGCTTCATGCTCCTACCAGATGTTGCAATGATGATTATCTTTTACCCTGTAGCAGTTATGGACTGCTGCTGTAAATGTAAATGTGTATCTTGTTCAAGATTGTCTTCTGTCTTTCTTTCCRTCTTTCTTTCCGACACACACACATGTATATATGCATGCTATTAGACACAGCCTTGGATGATTAGCTGGCAGATCAAAGATCCTGAAGAATCAGGCAGTGGAGAGAGGAAACCTGYGGCTGCTGGAGCAGGCGGGGAAAGAGAGAGTCCTTAAAGAAGACAGAGAGAGCAGAGATTGCTGGCTTATAGCTCTGACGGTCCCACAGAGTTTGTACAGTGATGAGATCTGTGACAACTATACCACCCTCATGCAAAAAAGCACTGCCTTTTTATAAGATGTTTTGTGTTTCTGGACCATTCTTTGTCTTTGTCCAGGTCTACTGTGCAATTCCTGAAGTTGTTGCCTTTCTAAGTCATGTTTGGTGCCTCCTTGCTGTTCAGCTGGGTTWTTATTGCTTAGCTGTTGATTTTATTGTTATGTTTTCTGTTATTTCAGTCTTTTCCCCTGAGCTCTGTAGGTTTAAATTTCTTCAGTAATCAGGAATGGGTTATGAACAAGTGGTTTATAGTCTGATGTCCATATTTTCAAGACCTTTGCTATTATCCCACTCTTAAACAAGAAAACTACAAGAAAAACAAATGCATTAAGCTGCAATTTACACAGCAAACTTTCATAACAAAAACAACATATCTGAWGGGCCAAAACTAAGGTCTTGTAAAGTCTGCATGAGGCAAAGTTAGTGTAAGGCTTGTGACTTCTTCCTAGACATAGCAATGCTCCTTTTGCTGGGCCACTGGCAACAGCAGGACCTTTAAGAAATCCTGTTCTTCCCTCATTCACAACTGAGTAGAGGGGAGCAACGTATAAGTGTTGTGGTAAATGCGTGTGCTACGCCTTCAAACTTCAAAAGTGTAAAGACTAAATCTGCTGGAAAATGCAGAACAAATATTTTCTGTGTAAACAATGCCCAACATGCCTGTTTAATGATATACCTTCCAAGAAAGGAAATTGTAGGTAAGTCATTCTTTTGGTTGCTGTTAGATTAGACTCTCTTGGGTTTCATAACTCTAATGGCACCTCTTGCTATTGCTGGTCTACTGACAGTAGTGTACTCAACTGCAATTTAGGAAATCTTTCAGTTAAAAAAGCACATCCGCTGACACTCATTTACTAACATAAAAGGTGTGCTAGGCTACTTAACAGATGGCTTTTTAAAACATTATTGTTGCAGAAGGATTTCCCTACCTGTATTCTCCTGTCCTTGGAAATCTCATTACAAGAATAAGTAGTAGCTGAGGGGTTCCCCCTCAAAAGGTGCTTCAAACACCTTTTCTCTTTCAAGTTTTTGACTGCTGTGCCTCAGGAAAGCACTAGGGAAACCTGAAGGGAAGGTTGTAACCTAGTGAAATTTTGTCCAGTCAAAAATGGAAGCAGTGTAAATTTGTCTCTATTTCATACTGTTTGTTGTTTCAGTGCCTATTTTTTGAAAGCTAAAAATCTGAGAATCCCAGTTTTCACTGCAGAGCTGTCAGGTATTGGGCTTCCWGCGGATTTCTCACCATTAAATAGCTTGGGACCTGGTGCTGTATAAGTGGTTTGCACATTCTTTGGTATGGGACAAGTTACTTCCATCACATTCGTTACAGTGTGGAGCCTTCATTAAAGAAATATTCATCTGGAATTTGAGCAACCTCAAAGGTTCCAACCCTCTATTAASAAWAGCTTCAAGTATTTACCAAGAGTTTAAAAACAGTTCTTAATCAGAGAGGCATTTATAGTTAACTTTACTGTTGGTGGCCAGAAGTATTTTAAAATCATTTTTCCGTTTTTCCTTTTAAAATACATTTTCTTGAGAGGAATAATTATTTTTAAGTCTATAATTGGTTGGGCTAAATTGTCACTCTGCTCTCTAAATATTAATAAWTCATGTTGTGTTCTCAGCCTATGTTGTACTTTCAGACTACTTGAAATTTAGATGTCTATTTTTCATATGTTGAAGTTCTGAATAAAATAACGAAACCCAAGTGTGACTGTGCTTCAGTCTCAATACAAAAAGTGGATCTTTGTATTTTGTAATTTGGTTAAAATTTGCAAATCTTCTTACACAGCATGTTGCATTTGGCTCAGGAATTGAAATTGGCAAGTAACAGAGTTCCTTCTGTGCAGAAAATGATAATGCTTTGAACAATTACATGCTTGGGAGTGTGCCACAGCAGTGAAATAAGCTGCAGCTACTAGATAGAGCCACTTCCTCTCCCTTTTGGTTATATCCTTAGACAAAACAGAGTGAGATCTCTTCTAGGTATTTACATTTTAGAAATTACTGCATAGTTGCAGATATGACCAGTATATCTGTAGACCTTCCCCCTCCCCCCCGTTTTTTTTTTGTTTTTTGCAATTCTGTTAAACTGAGGCACTACAAAATCCTGGAAATGCTTGAAAATTAGACATGCTTTGTAGGATTTTGTATAGCAAAACTTGCTTTTAGAGATGTTTTAAAACAATGCTCTTTAAAGATAACACAAACCTGTGATAATGTTTTTCACTCTTTAGCTGTACTTGTTATGAGACCATTTGATATCTTAAGGGAATAAATATAAATCAAAGAGCATGAGAAACCTGTATGAGAAAATTTGACACAAACTCACTGCATGTCTGTCATCTGGGAGATGAAAGTTAAGCTCATATAATGTATTCCCCAAGCCATACATCTGTTTATATAGCA